AAAATAAATGAATAAGTAAAATTAAATAATTCTTTTTTTTTTTTTGAGAGGTTTCTGCTATAGGGCGTGTGCGCTCACCAGACAGACAGACACATAGAGACAGAAAGCGAGAAATCACCCCCCAGGGGGGATGGCCACGCTGCAATCCCTTCTCCATTCTCCTCTCGGGATCTTGGGCACACACGCACACGCGCCCGGCGTGAGTTTTAAGCCACTGGGTCCGGGACGCGAACCACGGTTGACTACGTGGGAGTCCAGCGACATAGCCAATTGACTAACTGCTGGTTGCCAAATCAAATAATTCTTAAAAAAAAAAAAAAAAAGAAAGAAAAGAAAAGAAAACACACAGGTTAGTTGAGCATGTTCTCATTTTCAACCACAAGAGGTCACCTTCTCCTCCTTGGCTTCTAGGAGTCCAAGATTGATCTCCTTGATCGGAAGGAGGATGTGAAAAAAAAATTGAAGAAGGCCTTCTGTGAGCCCGGAAATGTGGAGAACAATGGGGTTCTGTCCTTTGTCAAGCATGTCCTCTTTCCCCTCAAGTCTGGTAAGGCCCTGCCTCTTCCCTCCCAGAGTCAGCCCAGGCTCCCCCTGCCCTCCCAGAGCCAGCCCAGGCTCCCCTGCCCTCCCAGAGCCAGCCCAGGCTCCCCGCTCTCCCAGAGCCAGCCCAGGCTCCCCGCCCTCCCAGAGCCAGGCCAGGCTGGCAAGAGCAGTGCTGTGATCCCGCGATTCGGCCCAGCTCTTCCTGTAGGGGCCGGCTGCCCTGATCCTCTGCTGTGATTTCTTTTCTTATTTTTTTAAGTGGGGCTCTCACCGTGTTGCATCCTCCCACCTCCTCCTGCACAGCTGGGACCACAGATGTGTGCCCACTCCCAGCTCCTTCAGACAGGCTCTTCCCATGCTGCCCAGGCCAGCCTGGAGGTCACATCCCTCCTGCCTTGTCCCCAGTGTCTGAGATTAGGGCTGCTCTAGCCTTCGGGCTGGGGCAAGGATTTGAACCTGGGTCTCCCATGTGGCCTCAGCTTGTGGAACCGCACACGTCGAGTAGCTGGGCCTGGTTTCTTGTATATTAACACGTGGGATTATGTATGTTTGAGGTTGTGCTACCATGTGCCAGCCACGTGTGCGTTCCCAAGCTGGTCTCTCGGGGGTGTCAGGGCAGACACATTGAGCGAGAGGCGGGCAGCAGAGATCCCCGCCACCGACCTCCCACCGAAGAAGCTGGGAGCCCAGCCTGGTGCACAGCGTGGTCCTCGTCCGCTGAGGACAGTGAGAGGCCGTGTTATGGAGTTCGGGTACGTGCTTCACGCGGGGGTGCTGACTGCCGCGTCACAGTGAGTTTGTCGGCGTGGATCCTTCTTACAGAGTTCGTGATCCTTCGAGACGAGAAGTGGGGTGGAAACAAGACCTACACAGCTTACCTGGACCTGGAGAAGGACTTTGCTGATGAGGTAATTACTGCGAGAGGAAAACCGATCCCCACGGAACTCTGACGAGCCTCTCCTTCTCGGCCCAGCTAGGTTTGCAGTTATGCGCCATGGGGCCCCGTCTTGATGTTCTCAGGGCTGTGGGTTTTGTTAATGGCTTCGATGGGATTTCACAGGTTAGCTGGGCGAATGGCACAAGAGGATGGAGTAGAGGTGACTGTTCATTTCAACCCACAGTTCCACAAAAGCCTTCCCAGGTACCTGTGTGTCCGGCCCTGTGCTAGGCACGCAGATCACAGAGGGCTAGCCCTCGTGCAGCTCGGTGGGAGCGCCGGCCATATGAACAAGCATCGACTATGTTGTATACGGTGGGATCTGTAGACGTAACCTTGGGGGGCTTCAAACCCACGGGAAAACGGACCAGTTTATTTTGCACCATTTATTTTGGTTCAAAAAACTTTTCCATGAGTACAGCCTAGCTGGTGCCGTGGAGGTTGAAGCCGTCAGATCCCACTTGGCCGTCTATGTGGTTCAAGGCTCAGACCCTGTGGCTTGAAAATCACACGGGGAGCGTGTATGTGTGTACCCGAAATTGAGAGAAAAATGGAAAAGAAGGGATTGTGGCATGGCCATCCCCTCTAGGAGGTGCTTTCTCATTTTCCCTCTCTCTCTCTCTCTCTTTCTCTCTCTGGTGAACACGTGTGCCCTGTATCAAAAACATAAAAAGGGGGGCCAATAGGTGGCTTGATGGTTAAGGCACTGAACTGTCACATGGCCAACCATGGTTCGAGTCCCAGACCTGGTGACTTGCTTTCTTACTTTCTCTATCTCTCTGTCTTTCTGTGGTCAGATTTGAAAAATAATAACAAAATGAAATACTTATTTTTAAATTATTTTATTTACCTTTATTTATTTTAATTTTACCAGAGACAGGCAGAGTGAGAGAGAAAGAGAGAGAAAGCAAGCCAGCAGGTCTGGGACTCAAATCGCAGTCAGCCATATGGGAGTCCAGCGCCCCTAATCAGCACGCTACCTGTCAGCCCAGAAATTAAATAATTCTTTAAAAAAAGAAGGGTGGGGAGACCAGCAGTTGGCATAATGGCTATGTCGCTGGACTCCCATAGTCAACTGTGGTTAAGTCCCAGACCCGGTGGCTTAAACTCACACAGGCGCGTGTGCGTGCGTGCCCAAGATCCCAAGAGGAGAAGGGAGGAGAAGGGATTACGGTGCGGCCATCCCCCTTGGGGGGTGATTTCTCACTTTCTGTCTCTCTGTCTCTCTTTCTGGCGAGTGCACACGCCCTATAGCAAAAACCTCTCAATAAAAAAGAATGGCGGGGTCAGCAGGTGGCATAGTGATTACAGTGCTGGACTCCCACATGTCCAGCCGTGGTTCGAGTCCTAGACCTGGTGGCCGGAACCTTGTGCCACGTGCACGTGCACACATGCCACAATCCCAGGAGGAGAACGGAGGAGAAGGGATTGAGACGTGGCCATCCCCCCGAGGGGTAATTTCTCACTTTCCCTCTCACTGTCTCCGTTTCTCTCCGGCACATGCACATGGCCTATGGCAAAAGCCTTCAAAAAAAAGAAGAAGAAAAAAATGTTAAAGAAGGGCTGGCTCCGTGGCCTGGTGGTTAAGGTAGCTGGATCTCATGTCCAATTGCATGGTTCGAGTCCCAAACTCAGCAACTTGAAAAATACTACTTGCCCACAGCCCTGACAGCAGAGAGAAATACAGGAGAAGGCATTGCGGTGTGACCGCTCCCACGGGCGCCTTCTCTCCCCATCGCGCCCTGGCTAGCGCACACACCCTCTAGGGAAGAAAGGAAGAGGGAGCGGGAGAGGGAGAGGAGATGACACATCGGGCAGAGTCCTCAGGAACAGGGTCGGAAGCCAAGGAGGCGGCGGTCCACTCTGCTGGGCCTCCTCTGTGCGGCCGTTGTGCGCTCACCCTGGTCTCGAGCTTTAAGAGGGTTATGTGACAGCCCAGGGAAGGGGGAGTGGTGGCAGAACACGGCCAGTGCTGTCACGGTTGGGAAACGGGACGTTCGGCTGTGAACTGGGTGTTTTCGACCACCCTCACATACGAGGAGGACTCTCCTGGGGAAGGGGATCGGTTTCTTCTCGGGGCCCCAGAGGGCTAGAGCAGGACCGTGGGTGGGAACCCCAGGGGGACATGGACGGACTTGCTGATGACCTCAGTCGTCAGACATAGCAGGGCTGCTCTCTGGACCTTGAATTCCCCTTCACCGGAGGTCTTCAGGCAGAGGCTGGAGAACCACCTGGTGACGTGTCAGGTGCGGGTTTGAGCATCGCTTAGAGAAAAAGCCTCGGGCCCCTTTGGAATGTTTTTAGATTTTCAGACGTTTCTCTGAAAATCTCTCTGCCATCTGAGGCAGGCCACAGAAGGCATGCTCTGCACTCAACCCCATAAACTCTCCATGAGGATGTGGAGGCAGAAAAGGGCATCCCTCTGAGCCAAGGTCTGCAGCCGTGTTGTCCAGCAGCCTTTGCTTCGGTGACGAGCGTGTCTGTCTGCCCCGCTGAGAGGGAAAGGCTGGCCACATGCAACTATGTGGCACTCCTGGGGTGGCTAGTGCAGCAGAGGGGCTGGCTTGTACCCACACAGAGCAGGGGCCACCATACGCAGCAGCACAGGCCTCCGCGTTTGTATCGTTAAAAATGAAATATTCTGGGGCCAGCAGTTAGCGTAATGGCTATGTGGCTGGACTCCCATGAGTCGACCGTGGTTCACGTCCCGGACCCAGTGGCTTAAAACTCATGCCGGGCGCATGTGCGTGTGTGCCCAAGATCCCGAGAGGAGAATGGAGGAGAAGGGATTGCGGCGTGGCCATCCCCCCTGGGGGGTGATTTCTCACTTTCTGTCTCTCTGTCTCTCTCATTCTGTCTGGCAAGCACACACGCAGTATAGCAAAAACCTCTCCAAAAAAAAAAGAAAGAAATATTCTGGGGCCAGCAGGTGGTGTGGTGGTTAAGCGCGCTAGATTCCCACATGGCCAACTGCGGTTCAAGTCCTGAACCTAGTGGCTTGCTTTCTCACTTTCCCTCTCTCCCTCTCTCTCTCTGTCTGATCAAACTGGAAAATAATAATAGTAATAAATAAAGTTAAATAAATAAGTTTTTAAAAACTTTTTTAAATGAAATATTCCCGGGCCAGCACATGGCCAGTCATGCAGCCTGAGTCGCAGGCACGATGGCTTGGCCAACACGCCAGGCACACGCCTGTGCATGTCCAGAACCCTGAGAGGAGACTGCAGCACGACCATCCCCGTGGAGGGTGCTTCCTCCCTGTCCCTCTGTCTCTCTCTCTGGCAAACACATGCACCCTTTGGCAGAATTTATTTTAATGAGACATTCCCAAGGCCGTGAGGAGTAGCATCAGGAACCAAGATGTTGGCATCATTTACTACAGGTATCTATACCTGAGGACAGCCATTCCTTCAGAGGGTCAGGAAGGTTTGGGGTAGAAGAGGGTAGAGAACAGGAGAATGTTTGAACCACAGAGCTAGAACACGGCCACACTGCTCCCACGCCCCACGCGCCACCATTGAGTCCGCACTCCGACTCGGATACCATCATTCTCACCCTCTGTTACAAATAAAGAAGCCAGAACGCATAGGGGTTGGTGCCTGGCGTGGGCCTAGGGGTTGGTGCCTGGCACCTCCGTGGCCTACGCAGCTAGCTGGGAGCCTAGTTCTGTCTGTCGTACTGCAAAGTCCATAGTCTTTCTTTTCTCACTCAGCTCTCTCCTGCAGGCTTATAATTTTTTAGTGATAGTGTATGTACAGGCGTGAGGGAGAGAGAAGGGAGAGGAGAAGAGGGAAGCACCCTCCGCAGGGTCTTGTCACACTCCAGCCCCTTCCCCTGCCTCTCGGCCCCTCTGGATGCTGGCCACCCAGGGCAGCCCAGGAATGTGACTTCCAGTCGCATGTGGCTTCCCACACGGCAGTCCAGCACACCGCAGGCCATAGCGCCCGGGCCAGGCCTCTCTGGGCGTCTTGTGGGTGCCCGGGAATGTTTCTAGCCTGTAAGTAGCACTTGGCTTATGCCACAACCCAAGCACAAGTGAGGAACTGGAAGAATTAGACCAGTAAGTACACCCAGCCTCTGCAACAGAACCCTCATGCTGGTATGGGGTGGAGAGTCCAAAGGTCCAGGTTTCAGGCAGGCCAGCCCTTCTGAGCCCGTCTGCCTTTCCGTGCTCCCTGCCTCCCAAGACGCCATGAGGATCAAATCAGGGTCTGCAGGGAAGATCTCCCTCGTCCTGCACGTGTGTTCCTGGTAGGTGGGGTGCCCCATGCCCTGGCCCAGACCTCACTCACCAGGCCGGACCCCTCTGCAGGTGGTGCACCCTGGAGACCTAAAGAACTCTGTCGAGGTCGCCCTGAACAAGCTGCTGGACCCCATCCGGGAGAGGTTTAACTCCCCTGCGCTGAAGAAGCTGTCCAACGCTGCTTACCCGGATCCGTCCAAGCAGAGTAAGGCTGGCCGAGGAGGGCTGGCGGGGTGCCATCTGACAGAGAGCCGGTCCTGGGCCTCGGAAGAACCTTCCTTACATCGAGGCCCCAGAACCCAGGGAGTCTGAAGTACAGGAAGGTCCTATCCCCTCAGTCCCTGGAGCAGGCCTTGTCATTGTCATCTGGGTTTGGTCGGTACTGCAGGGTGACTGGACCTGTTGAACTAACACCGCTACGAGGTGCTGAGACACACTGACCTTCCTGCCGCTGTTGGCCAAATCTACACCTTTGTTAAGGATGGTGACTGGGTTGGACCTGTGGGGCCCAGCTGGTGTATAAGTGGCAGCCGTCCGTGTGCCCGTGAGGCCGAGATACTGTGTCGATAGCGGTGTATGACCCCCAGAATAACTCCGTAAATCCTACAGGATGCGAGAGTGGGAACACCGGAAGGTGGCAGCTCCTGCTGTCCCCTCCCCTCCAGGCTAACGCTCAGGGAGGGACAGGATGAAGCCCGCAGTGTCACCTCTGAAGGACTGCCGATGCTGTTTGAAAGGCCTTGTAGATGGTGGGTCCTCACTCGGAGAGATCAGCCGCTAGCCTGCCTTGGGGGAGAGGGAGTCCTGAAAGTGAGATTCTTCTCGTTCCCAGAACCAGTTGCCAAAGGCCCTGCCAAGAATTCGGACCCAGAGGAGGTCATCCCATCCCGGCTGGACATCCGTGTGGGGAAAATCGTCAGCGTGGAGAAGGTACTCAGTTCCGCCACATTCCAGGGGCTGACAGGTCGGTGTTTCCATCCGCAGGCGGCCCTGGCGAGGGAAAGCCACATCCGTGAGGCCGTGCTGTGGGCCAGAGCCAGGCGTCCCATTCCAGGCCACGTGCCCCGCGGCCTCGGCTGCCTCTGTACTCAGAGGGGCGGACGTTAGTCAGAGGGCACGTGCTTGTCCATTCCATCCAGCCCGAGGAACCCACTGGTCTCCACGAGCCTGCATGGACTAGTTGCAGCTTATCTTGGATCAGCCACTTTGTCTGCCGCTCTCAGAAAGTGGCAGAGGGAGGAAGACGTCCTTTTTCCCGGGGACAGAGCTCATGCAACCTGGGACCATCGTCCTGGGCTTTTCTCCTCCCCAGCACAGATTTGCTTGTCACTGTGGAGACCCAGCCACCAAAAACTGCCTTGAGATGGCTGCTGATGTCCCGTCCAGTTCAGAGGGTGAGGCCTGCAGCCGCCCCCCGGGAAGTACTGGTGCACACGTGTGCCACGCGGTGGCCACCCAGGCAGTCCAGGCCACGTGGTCTCTGTGGGAGCTTCTTCCACCTCTTGCACAGCTGTTAGGTTTGTTTTACTCGGATCTAACCTCTTGATCGAGAGAAGAATATATGCCCAAGGCCCTTCTCTGTCCACCTTCTGGGACCTGTGAAGGGAGTTCGCTCTGGAGAAGGCCCTCCAGGTGACTCTAAGGAGCGGGTGCCCTTCCTGGGGTCAGAGGCTCGCCAGGCTCCGGATCACCTCTGTTCTGATTTCTTCTTAGCCCTTTACCGTATTGCTGAACACTTGAGTTTGGGGGATTAATAACAAAATAGTGGGGCCACTTGGTGGCGTGGTGGTTAAGGTGGCTGGATCTCACGTGGCTATGTGGTTTGAGTCCTAGACCCAATGGCTTGATAAACATTCAGGCACATGTGCATGCATGCCTGAGATTCTGAAAGGAGGGAGAGGGTGGAGGAGGAATTGCAGCATGGCCAGTCCCCATTGGGGGGAGTTTGCTCTCTGTCTCTTGCCAGCAAGCGCACATGCTCTGGCAAATTAAAAAAAAAAAGGATGGGGCTGGCAGGTGGCATGGTGGTTAAGGGCACTGGACTCCCACATGGCCAAGCATGGTTCGAGTCCTGACACAGAGGCTTTCTTTCTTTCTTTCTCTCTCTCTCTCTCTGTATCTCTCTCTGGAAATATTAGAAAAATAATAATAAAGCTAAATAAAATATTTTATATATTTTTAAATGAATTATTTATTTAATTCTATATGTTATTATTTTTTAATTTAACCAGAAATAGAGAGGGAGAGAAGGGGAAAGCAAGAAAGCAAGCCACAAAGTCTGGGGCTAGAACCACGGTCAGCCATGTGGGAATTCAGTGCCTTTAACCACCATGCCACCTGCCAGCCCCTAAAATAATTATTAAAAAAAAAAAGGAAATAGAGATTGGGTCTGCCCTGTGGGCTAGTGGTAAGGAAAGCCAGATCCACGTGCTGACCACATGCTCCAAGTCCTGGCCCGGTTCAAGTCCTGTCGGCTTGAGAAATGTCCCAGAGATGTACGTGCGTGCTCGACGGCCCATTGTGCTGTGACCATGCCCCACTGAGGGGTGTTTTCTCCCTCTGTCTCTGTCTCTCCATGGTGAGCATGTATACCATCTGGCATATAAAAAAGAAAGGAGAAAAGAAACAAATCTGTTGATTTAAGGTTCCGTGAGTGACAAGCAGAGAGGATGGCGATGGCGAGTGGGTAGAGAAAGTGACCCTCCGTGAGGGCTCAGCCTTTGTCACGAGACCTAGAACTCGCCGGGTCCCACGAGGCATCGCTCATTTAATCATGAGTGTGTGGCCTTCGCGGTGCAGTCACCGTCCACCAAGCCCACCTAGACTCATGACCAACCACTGCCCATGGGCCCAGATCTCACACGGACCTTGGAAGACAAGCCACCGTCTAACCCGTAGCAGACACTCCTCACCTGCCCTGTCGCCGGCATAACCCGGATGCCGACAGCCTGTATGTGGAGAAGATTGACGTGGGGGAAGCTGAGCCCCGGACGGTGGTGAGCGGCCTGGTGCACTTTGTGCCCAAGGAGGAGCTGCAGGACCGGCTGGTGGTGGTGCTGTGCAACCTAAGACCCCAGAAGATGAGAGGGGTCGAATCCCAGGGCATGCTCCTGTGCGCTTCCACGTGAGTGAGGCTGGGGAGGTGCTGGGTGCTCAGCCCAAAGGATGTCCTTCCCCATGCCAGGCAGAAGCCCTGAGGACACAGGCCTCTTTATCGTGGGTGGCACACGATGACAGGCAAAGGAGTGTGTGGGTGCTGAGAACCAGCAACTGTACCTGTTCAGCTTGGTTAGAGGAGAGATGGAGGTTCAGAGGGTGCACACCGCGGTCTCCACTCACGGTCCTGGAGTCGGGATGCAGCCCAGTGCTCACTGCCTGGGACGCCCAGCTGTGTCATTCAGGCTTTCTTCCAGGAACCAAGATTTGGATGTCTCTGACATAAATTTGCGGTGTAACCCTGGTCACAGCTGGTCGCACACAGAGGTGTAGTAGGGCAGTGAGGACCGCAGTGGGGCTGTGGCAGGGCTGTAAGGACCGCAGTGGGGCTGTAGTAGGGCAGTGAGGACCGCAGTGAGGCTGTAGCAGGGCAGTGAGGACCGCAGTGGGGCTGTAGCAGGGCAGTGAGGACCGCAGTGGGGCTGTAGCAGGGCAGTGAGGACCGCAG